TCCGTGTTGCGAATGAAATCTAGAGCAAGTTTTGCTTTGAGCTTGTTGAAGATTTGGTCTCGGTTGAATTTGTTAATGAAGCGAGCATTGTGTAGTCTTTTATATTTAAGTATCATAGCTTATGTTTATATTGATAGGTGGTGGTGTCAATTCTAATCTAAAATTCCGTTCACCAAATGAATTTATTGATCATTTGTTGTGGCTCGCGTCCGATAAAGCTTCACCATGTGCTTGTAAGTACTGCAGTGGTAAACCTTCTTCAGGTGTACAAGCGTCTGTCACTTCTAGTAAAGCAATGACAAAATCACAAGAACATGGAGGGTTTCGACGTGGAGAGTTGGTTTGGGCAACTAAAGATCAGATCTTGTCAACTGATGAAGCAGAGACATTAGGTTATATCAAGTTTTGGCCAGCTGTAGTTATTGAGCGTACAGTGGTACCACCTCATGTCTTATATACTTTAAAGCGTGTCTTACTGGATGGAACATTGAAGGTTCGCCAAAACAAGATTATGCCGTGGCTTGCACTTGATCCGGCTGATCTTACGAAACAATTTGATAACCAGGACATAACTGATGATACTTCACTCGCTTCAAAATTTCTCGGAGCAGTCAATTACGCGAATGAAATATCCTCAATGTATACACCAGTTATTAAAAGTGAATATGCATTGAGTTGCATAATATTTGGTGCCGAAGTTTTAAAAGTGAATGACTATGTTAGATTGACATATGAAAAACTTAGCGATTCTGAAATGCTGCAATTACCAGTGTTTAAAATCACATCAATGTACATAAATGATCATAACAAACTCGAAATGAGGGGTGATATGTTCTTGAAAATGCCCACGAATGGTGCACCTGGAACAAAGTTGATTAGGACGAACACAGAACAAACTGAGTATCCACTTGACTTGACGCAAATAGCTGGTCGATTCTACATGACTTATCCGAACATCACACGTTCTGCAACACCATTTAAACTTGCAACATTAACGGATAGGCTTAAAATTATTCAAGATGAATCTAAATTAGCCACAACAAGTGAAAATCGAAAATCAATCCAGAAACAAACAGCAAAGCGAACTAGACCAATTATTAACAACCCTAGCGATGCTCGGAAAAAATAATGACCGGATTTTTTGTCGACTAACATGTGACTTCGAATGGTGATTGCCGGGTAAAATTTCCAATGATTTTTATCTTGTGTGTGCAACTAATTTCTTTATAGGCTAATTCTTACTCATGTCTAAAATTTTTTCTTTACAATTAAGATGTAACACTGAACATTTTGGATGTTTTGGAAAATAGATTAAATATTATTAAAAATCTTGAATATAACGCATACCAAACGTTGAGCGCTATTCCTGATATACATATGTAATATTAAGTAGCATAGCAATAAATGAATATAATTGCAATCATAATAAGCATCTTATTTCAATTATTTGCGTATTATGAAGTTAACAAATTATACCAATACAACAGTAAATAACAATTTATTATCCAAACCATAACCTTACTTATGCTAGATTATATTTATTGACGAAGACAAATTATTTAAATTGGTTTTGAACATTATAATTGGAAAGGTATATCTATATGTCCATCCCATTTATCTGCGTTTCCAATACATTTATTTTTTAGTAATTTAAAACTCGGGTAAACTTTGTTTCAAAATACATTAAAACTTTGAACCTCGTTAAAAAATATATATACTCGTAAATATACCAATCTCTATTATATAGTATATTTTTTGCTTATAATTGCTATCTTTAATCTAACTATTTTTATGTTTAATAAATAAGATCAAATTTAATAAACGGTTGAATTTTTATAATTTTAAGGATTTTTCAAGTTAAATATATTTATTAATTTAAAAGAATTATTACTGTATTTTATATTTATAATACAAAATATTTTTTTCAAACTATAAGCTTCAAATTATTATAAATTTATTTATTTTTTATCTATTTTTTAAAAAAAATTTAATATATTTAAATAATTTTTTAATATACAAAATACAAGTCGTTCTTATTATAGTGAAACCTCCCGATATAGTGAAGAATTTTTTTAGAACAGAATTATTATTAATAAATTTTCGCTCTATATAATGAAGTTAAATAGTAAACTCTCGATATAAGTTATAGTAAAGATTTTTATAACAAAATATCTTTATATTGTAGTGAATATTTTATTATATAATATTTTATTAGCCAATTAAATTAACAGATTTTTGTTATTTTGCTATATATAATATACAGTATATTTGATTACTGTCTTTACTATATTAAAAGGATTTCGATATAGTGAATCTCTTAATATGGTGGAGAAATTTTTATAGCCCAAGGGCTTCATTATAAGAAAGTGACTTGTAATACAAAATTTTTTAAAAAAATCCTTTTTTTTTTAATATTTGGGGTGTAGCACCTGCCTCAAACTTTATTTAATACTTAAGTAGTTGATATACAATATGATAGTGCCAATATATATACATATTATGTTAAGAACTAGGACTAGGATGTTAAGTTATACAAACCATTTATCCATAGCTAAAACCTACCAGAGCCTTCTTGTACTTCCACTATATGTCTGATCTAAATTTGTACTTTTCTTCCCAATATTTATATGTTTACTACATTATCCACATTACCTACTATCTTAACTTCTAAATCAGTATATATTACTCTAGATAGGTGCTTTTTGTTTCTAGTTTGGTGTGTCTAACAGAAAGATTTCTCTTATAGTTTCTACTAGCATATTTTTAGGAGTTTATATTTCAAGTTATGCAACTGTTTTTACCCAATTAGATAAATATTTCAAGCCTGTATGCTGCTATAATTAGCTAGTTTTCTGTAACTTTGAGATCCAGGTTTAACATATTAAATTTAGTAATTGTGCTAATAATTGTACTTCCCAATATAGTGATAAGGTGCCTAGACATGTTTTATATATACTTCTAGTATTCAATATAGTTAGATAGCATTATGAGGCTTTTTGCATAAACAAGTATATTATTATTTTTTTTTATAGTAATTTTTAGCAATTATAACTTGGTTACAACTATATATACTTATATTAGCTATATCTATAATGATGGTTTCAAGTTCTCTTAATATTTGAAGACTTTTATATAGATATACCAAAGCTTGTTAGATCTATTAATACAGGTTCTTTTGTATTTATCACTTTTTTTACTACTCTAATTCTAGTTATTGTTTGAATATTCTTCTAATCAAGATTTCAATATTACCTTAGAGATTGTTGGTACTACCTATACTAACTAAGAATTTATATACATAGCCTTTATATAATAAAACTTTTTATAATATCTACTTGTTATATATAGTGCTATCTCTCTATAATAGACCTATTTCCAAAAATTTCTATTCCAAATAAGTACTTACTTGGACTTCTTATATGTAAGTATATTCAAATATTTATAGATAAATATATCTACTAGAACTTAAACCCAAAATCTACTTATAGAAGGTTGGATATTTAGTCCACTAGGCTATGAGATTCTAGCCCTTTAAAAAATTTCTAATTTATATTATAAATAATTATTATTTATAATTTGCCAATTAAATTTAGAATTAAGAGTGGCGATCTAGTGTAGTGGTTAGGTTGTCACCCCCACCAAGTGGCAGGTCAAGAGTTCGAAACCCACCGTCGACGG